TGGGGTCCCAGCAAGGACACTCAGCCCTACAAGTGACCTCCMTGGGCTCGTCCCCCAGCAGGGACACGTTTGTGTCACTCACCTGAGGCGCATGAAGAGCACAAAGGCCACCAGGAGGGCCCCCAGCGAGACACAGTGGCCCAGGTAGTTGATGATGACAGCAATGTGGTAGTGCAGCTTGCTCTTCTTCTGGGGGGGGGACACGGGGAGGGGGGTCAGAGCAGCCCCAGCAGCCCCACAAACCCCCCTCCTCCAGCACGTCACCCGCGGGAGCTGCACTGCCAATTTTGGCCCTTTTTCAGAAATCAGAGGGAGCCCACCCTGGGGCAGGGCAGGCATGGGAGGGGGTGGGGGTAATGTGGGCAGGGGAGGCACCAGCCTGGTTTCACACCCCAGTCCTGACCCCTGCTCAGAGCTGGGCCATCCCCAGCCCATCCTCTGGGGAAACCCTGCTGGAATGGAGCTGAGCTCGCTGCAATCTGATGTCTCAGTTCATCCCCCCCTGCCCTGGGGGCAGCTGAGAGGCTGGGATGAATTCGGGCAGAGGGAAGGTGTGAGTGGTAATTAAATTAATTGATCACTCCTGCTGTTAGGCACTCATCCAACCTGTGAATTAGCAATTAACTGAGTGAGAAAACCATTCCTGGCAAGAGATATCAGCATCTTAAATACCAGAGGTGGTATCAGCTGCAAATGAACAACCCTTATCTCTTCCTCTCTGCTCTGAGGGGTGGCTCGAACCACTCAGGGGCTTGTAATTCTTGATCCCTGATTTTTATACCTTCCAGCTTCCTAAATACCTCCTTTATTTCACTGCCAGCAGGGCAGGATGGGGTTTGCCCTTAGTGCTGTGTCAGGAGGGGGATGGGGCTGAAGAACCTGTATCCAGATGCCTGGAGACCTCACACTGCCAATTCCCTGGGATTTTTAATGGGGATGGAAACAGGCTTTTCCTTCTGACAGGGAACACAAATCCAAGTGAAGAAGGGGGGTCACCACTGCCACACACAGCCTCACATCCCAGAGCTCCCACTGGGCATTCCTGACCTGGATCTGCCTCCTTTCCCAACTCATCCCCAGGGAGGGCTTCCCCAGGTCCTACCTCTTCGCTGAGGATCTCCTGGCACTGGGAGTAGTTGACCCGGGCTGCCCAGCTCCCGTTGGCAAGGCACTCCCTGTAGCCATTGTCTGGAAGAGAGGGATGCCTTAAAGGAGGAGGAATAAATCCCTGGACTATTTTGAGTATTAAAAGGCAAAAAGCACCCCTTTATTATTGAGGATGCACAGGAATAATTTGCACACACACCCTGAGCTGCACAGGCTTCACAACTTTACACCATCATCTAATTCCAATATTCGGATCCTAATTACAATATTCAGATCCTAATTACAATATTCAGATTACAATTACAATATTTGGGCATTACCTCAGCTGTTACACCCACTTCCAAAACTGTCCCTCCCATAGCACCGCCCTCACCACGTCTCCGAAATTGGAATTAGGATCTTCTTGACCCCCAGCAAGGACAGTGAGTGGCAAAGGCTGAGTGGGGAGGAATTCCAGGAATTCCAGGAGGAGCCTGGAGCAGCCTGTGCTGGTGTGAGCAGTGGGGTGATGGCAGAACTGGGGTGATGCTGGGCTTCCTTCAACAGGACAGCCCCTGAGCCTCATCAGGGGGATGGGATGGGACAGGGATGAGAGGGGTTGGGAGGCAGGGACAGGTAGGGAGTAGTGCAGGGACAGTCCTGCAATGGCAGCAGAGGCACCACAAAGCAGGAGCCCCGTGCATGTCATCCTGCACTGCTGCAACAACATGGGGGATGGAAAAAGTGATGTTTTTTGTGGGAAAAAAGATTTTTTTTTCATCAAAAGCAGCACTTGGGTGGGCAGAAACTCCACTCTGTGTTAGGAATGGCTTTGGGCACTTTTTCTGTGCCTTCACTTCGTCCCCTGCTCCCAGCACGTCCCTGGAAGTGACAGTGCAGCCACCCGTGCCAGGAGGGGCTGAGCTGCAAAGGCCCCCAATCCCTGCTCAGCTGGGAGCTGCAGACCCCCTGTGCCACCTGCAGTGGCTGGGCAGGCTCACTCCTCTGCCCTTGTCCCCAGGATGGGGACAGCAGCCCCTCTCCTCCATCCAGGAGAACCTGCTCAGGGAGCTGCTGCCGCGAAACCACCCTCCCCGAAATCCGGGATTCTTCGGTGGAAAAAGAGCTCTGTGCCCAGAGATGCTTTGTCCCCTGTGTCCCCAGCCCTCCCCCACCATGTCCCCGGGGGTGCTGCCCCTCTTACTGGTGGTGTTGTACCGCACCCCGTAGAAGAACTCGGGGCAGGGCCGGGCCACCAGCTGTCCCACGGCGCTGCGGGGCCAGCACGTGCCGATCAGATCCACGGAGGCATTGCACTGGGGACCTGTGGGGACAAGGCCACGGGGTTACTGGGGGGCTGGGGGCCACCAGGGGCCACCTCCAGGCCGTTGGAGGGTCAGGATTTGCCTGGAGAGCTGGGCTGCAGCGCTGGATGAGCCCCAGGAGCTCAGCCCCCAAACACCAAACAGGGTCTGTGCCGAGGCTCCTGCCCATGGCTGTGACCCTGGTCTTGTCTAAATAACCAGATTAAGCCCAGTTCTGGCCAAAGGCCTGGCTTCACATCAGCTGGAGGTTCCCTGGCTCTGGTCTTCCAGCCCTGCTCCTTCCTCCACCCATCCAGCCCCACAACAGGCAACGAGCCAGAGTTTCTGTTTCCCAGTGGTGACTCCAGCCTGGTTCTGCTGGGATGCTCCTCAGAGCCCCTCCAACCCTCCCACACCTCCTGGCTCCAAACCCTCCCTCCTTCCCAGCCATTCCCGTTGGTCTCTTCCAGCCTTTCCCGGGAAAAAAGACTCCAAATGTGCTGCTTCTATTTCAGATTTCAAGAAGGACTTGTGTGCTTTTCCCAGCTCCACGAGTGTGCTAACGTAGGCATTAGGTAGGCCAGATTGCAGGCTTTTTTATGTATAAATTGTATATATTTAGAACAACATGTCCTGAAGCTAAATATGTCCCTGCTCCATCTCCCAGCGAGGTGGGAAGCACAATGGCTGGAATATCCATAGAATATGATCCCAGACGAGCAGCAGATGGATGGGCAGGAGACACTGGAAGGGGCAGAGTTCAGTCCAAACCACTCCTGGATAGCAGAGATGTCTGTGCTGCTGGCACAGAGACAGGAACTGCCCTTTCCTAAGGCAAACCCACCCCAATTCACAGCTCCTTGGGTGCAGGAACACGGCCTTTCCTCTCCCCCAGAATTCCTGGCTGCTGTTTGAATGCCTTTCCCAAAAAGTCCTATGGATGGAGCTGGCTGAAGAGTGACCAAAAAAAAAAATAATACTGTGTTATTGATACGATGGAGGTTTTTATGGAGGAATATTGTTATTTTTGGACCTTCTCAGAGGAAATTTTCAGCGCTTCCAGTGTTTTCCTCAAACATCTTAGCAAGGGAGAACAACTTCCAAGCATGTGAGACAGGGAAGCATCAGCGTGGTGAGTGTTACCTTCTGCCTCCCAGAGCTTGTAGGGAGAAATTAATTTTAACAATGACCTTTGCTTTTAGCTTTGCTAATGTGTAGGGTTGCTGTGGCAACCTTGCCTTTAAATTAACTGTTTTAAGCCTCTATTTCATGGGAAACAAGGTGCCCTTAATCACGTGTGAGTGTCTCTGCCTTTTGCATCCATTTGCATTTATTGAGCTCCTTCGTTGTTTTGACCCAAATTTGACAGAGAAATGGAGGGTCACAGAGAAATGAAGGCCCTGTTTAAAATTTTATGATTATATTCAGCCATGTAAAGAAAAAACAAGCAGTAATTGCTTCGACTGAGGACAAAGTTAATCTGCAAGTGCTCTCCCTGGGAGCCACCCAGGTAAGGAGCTACTTGAGGGTCTGGAATGGGAAAAGCTTTACTTGGAATAACCCAGCCTGGAAAAGTGGGGATTGCACAGTGCTGATGCCCAGAGCAGCTCATGCAGCCACCAAACCCTCCCATCCTGGCACTGGTGGGGCTGAGCACAATAAAACTCCGTTTTTTCCACATCCCCTCGTGCCTCAGCTTCCCTCCTGCATCCCAGGGGCTGTGCTGGGGCACAGACAGAGGCTGCTCAGGGAGGAGAGTCAGGAATGACAAGCCAGCAGGGCCAGGGAGCAGCGAAGATGATGTTCTCCATCAGCAGGGCCAGGAATAACCAAACCCAGGCTAAACCCCTGGAGATGATGTGGCCAGACAGAGGTGGCGTCACTGGGTGACACATCTGCTCCAGTCTGGGTTTAATATCTCCCAGGTGCTTGATTTAATGGGTTTAATATCTCCCAGGTGCTTGATTTAACGCCGTGTGGCACTGGCAGAGTGTGACACACACCCACCCACCAGGTGACAAACCCGGGGGGTCCCACCGGTCCCACCACGGGGGAGGTGGAGCAGCAGCACCAGGAGCCCAACCCCCTCCTCATCCCACGGCTCAGGGCTGACATTTGGGGTGACATTTGGGTCAGGGGGTGCAGTCAGGTGCTCACCAGGCTGTGGGTGCTCCGGGGACCTCCCCCTGTGCTCAGCAGGCTTTGCCCCTGCATTGATTTCTGGGTCTGTCCCACCAGTTTTTAATCCAGTGGGTGGCTGGAATACTTTTCCCAGGCTCACGTTGAGAGATGCTGGATGAAGAAAAGCTGCAGAAAGCAGAGGCTGCTCTTCCTGCTCTTCCAGCACGTGGGGAAAGGGAAAAAAACCCTTCCTGCTGGGGAAGGGTTAAGTAAAACAGCAAAGGCAAAGAGCGCCGTGAGGGCTGCGAGATCCCCTCTGCTCCAGCTGCTCCCAGTGGCACACGGCTCCCAGCACTCGGAGCACTGTTTAGCATGGAAATTACATGTATCAGTGCTAAATGCTTCCCTGTCTGCTCGGCAGCCCATCCCTGTTTGCAGGGGGATTATCCTCCCCCGTTCTCAGCTCTGTTGGCTGCACAGGTTTGGGCTTTGCAGATTTACAGCAGGGAGGGTCAAATGAATTTCCTACCTGCGCTAAATCCCCCTGATTTGGCTTCTTCCCGCACAAAAACATGGAATTTTGGTTGGGAGGGAGCTGGTCCTGCTTTGAATTCCCCTGCTTTTTGGGGAATGTGGCACAGGGGAAGTCACTCCAATCCCTTCTCACCCCATTGCCTTTGGAAGTACTGCAAGCAGTATAAAGCATTTACTTTCTTCTGCAGGAAAAACGTGCCTGTCCAGGGACTTACACTGAGACAACTACATCACAATAACTGTCTCAGGATAACTGTAGCAATATCCCATCTGCTTATAGAAAACATCCTTCTCCAGCCTGCTCCCAACACTCGCTGAGGTCCCCCCGAGGTGGCTGCGAGCTAAAGCCACACACCCGAGTGAATCCCGGCAGGGCAAAGCTCTCCAGCCCCGGCTTCACCTGCCAAAAGATTCTCAGCGAATGTAAAGAGGATGGAGCGGGTTTATCCCGGGCCAGCGCCACCAGACGCGTGGCCACGGTGCTCCTGAGCCGGTGCCAGGAGGTCTGAAGGGTTAGAGGAGGAAAGCAGAGGTTGTGCTGATAAAACAGTGCTGCTAAACACGTCCTTGTCTCCCCTGGGCAAAGCTGTGCCCCAGTGGAGGCTGTGCCCCATCCCAGTGTGCTGCTGGGCACAGACACTGCTGTGATGGTCCGAGGGTGATGCCTCCCTCCCCTCTGCAGCACAAAGGAGCCGGCAGAGAGGATGGAAATCTGAATCACAGCAGTGACGGGGTTATTTATCCGAGGTGTCTCCAGAGGCTGAGGAGCAGCTGAACGTTGTTAACTCCTATCACTACCTGTCCCCAGCTCTTATTCAACCGCAGTTCTCTCTGTCCATCGCTGGTGTCCCCTGTGACTGCCCTGCTGCCGCCTCAGCCCCTGAGCGTGTCCCCCGTGTGTCTGCTGCAGCATCTGCATTTGGCAATCAGGGCTTCATCTCCACATCTAATCAAGATACACTCACTGCAGCGCCGGCACGAAGGGCTGCTCGTCCCTCCCAGACAGCTCCACCACCCTTGGGGAGCGGAAAGAGCCATTTCACACCTTATTGCCCCAAAACAAGGGCCTTTGGGAGGGGGATGTTTTTATTTCAAGGTGCTGATGTGCCAGGGAGGGGCGGCTCCGTCCCTCCCGTGGGGCCACTCGGGTGTTAAATGCTGCACAACACCGGGAAACGGCACTGGGGGACAATTCATGTTAACATGGGGTAGAATTGGGGTGGTGGAGCTGCTTGCCCTCCCTCTGAGGCAGGGTTGGGGTCTCAGGATGGCTGTGAGCAACTCTGGTTGCCTCAAAACACGTCCCTGCTCACACTCTGCTTCCAGCACTGCTTTTGGTGGCATTGGGTGCCTCTTATTTACCTTTGTCAGACTCCAGCCCTTAAAAAAATCCCCAGCCATCCTCCCAAGCGTTTCGAGTCCCACACTTCTCCATGAAAAATAATTACCCAGGCTAATTAAATGTTATGATAGCAAAGTGTCTTGGTAATGAATTTTTGGCTTGTTGCTATTTACCATCACTGACTGTCCCCTTGAGTCTTTGCTGCTGCTCTGGAGAAGAATAAATAGGAGTCACCAAGCCTGGCTTGTTGTCACTTAAGGCTGATCCATGAACAGCTTTGCAGCATGTAAATTTACAGAATATAAAATGTAGAGGGTTGGGTTTGGGGTGTATCACGTTCTCCTGAGATGACCCCCACAGTGGTGGGATCTGTGTTATAACCAAGAATGGCAGCAAGTGGTTCATTCCCTGCTTTTGGCTGTGGTTTGGTGGTGGGTGAGAGAAGCAGCACAGTCCCTCCCTGGCAGAGTTTTCCTGACAGAGCCTTCTAGTTTGGCTACAACTGCACAGAGCAGCTGGCAAGGACTTCTCTGCACCCCCTGCAAAGTGCAGTTTGACTGCTGGGGCTGCTGCTCTGTGCCAGGACACTGTTTCCTACCAGAAAACCTCATCATCTTCCCTCCTCCACTACAATAAAACCTATGAATATGAGGGAGTTGCTGCTGACATCCCTCTTTCCCAGATGATGGAACAGGATGGCTTTATCAATGCCAGTACACACTTAAACCACGATGGTTTTCCATATAAGGTGATTTCCCATTTTTTGGTTCCCAAACCAAGTATCATGTCTCTCCTTCCATCCCTGCCAGGACTCGTTGCTGCCTCTTTAGCCCCTGCTCAGCTCCTTTATTAATATTTCTGCCTTGGTGGGAGGGATGCCAACGAGGCTTGAAGGGAAAAGAGGCAGTGCTGCTGTTAATTTGACCTTTCTGAATTTAAATTCCAGTCTCACCCCAGGGGAGTCAGGGAGTGGATGGAAGAGCAGTGGCACGAGAGCTGCTGGAGCAGCGTCAGCGCTTTGGGGAGCTGAGCTGGAGTGGGTGGAAAAGCTCTTGGTCAAACTTGTCACCTGCTGGGAAAGGTGTTACCAAACCTGTCTGATAAAGTGCCCGTGAAAGAATTGTTCTCATCACTCGCTGCTCCTCAGCCACAGGGTTTTGCTGTATCTGGACCAATTAAATTTGCTTTATTCAATGCGAAGCTACACTCCATTTCCCCCTCGAAAAAAACCTCCAGTTCAAAAAAAAACACCAAACAAAACCAAAAAACCCAACCCAGACATTTCTTTTCAGTTCTGCCTCGCCGTGGTGTCATTTTTCCTTTGCTTTAGGTGAACTTGCCGTGGCAGGAAACGTTTCTTTGCTGAGAAGGAATCGTCTGCACTCCCCTCTCTCTCCTGAGCACACACACGGGATTGAGGATAAGAATTTGTTGTGGTAACAAGCTTAAGGGAGTGGACCAGACAGGGATATTGGCAGTTGGGTGGCAGCTCCTTGGGCTGATCCCAGGCTTGAGAGCTCCGAGCAGCAGAGCAGCCGCACGAGCGCTCCGAGCTCGCTCCGCTCGGGAAGCTCCAGTGCTTCCCGCTGAGCTGCTCTGGAAAAGCCTTGGTATTCATGAGGAAGAGGCTTTCCCATCTGCTCAGATTCCCCCTCCCTTCCCCAGGGAAGCCATCCTGCAGCTGCAGGGGGATGCTTTGCCCCTGGGTGGATGAAAGGACCTCCCCGGTGGGTTTTGTGGCAGCCACGCACAGAGCCCGGGAGCTGAAACCATCAGCGAGGGAAATCCAGGGAATGTGTGGGCTGGGAGCCCTTGGGACAGCACCCATCCACCCCAGACAAGGGCTGCTGATCCTCCTTTTCAGGCCTGAGCTGGGAATTTCTTGGTTCCAGCTGCCTGGGGGTGCAGCAGATCCTACTTTCCGAGTGCCCCACGCTGGCCTCGAGTCCAGCCTGATATTCCTGCTTCACTGCTCCTGTGGGATGCAGCTTTCTGAGGGAGTCCAGCTGGGTGTGGGTGCCCTGGCCAGGATCAGGGGCTCCTCAAGGGGTATTTTGATGGATATCTAAACTATCAGGACCATCACACCTGTGCAGGCAGTCCAAGGGGACTCAGAGGGGGCTTGGAGAAGGTGGGTAAATCCGTGGTGATAAGAGGGCAGGCCAGGGGAGCTCTGTGGGGCTCAGCTGCTCCACTTCCTGGGATGAGGGTTTGCTTGCACTGCCCTGCACTGGTGAGCATCACCCCAGTCTGCCCCCACCCCACTGCTGTGGCAGAGACCTTCCCAGCTCAGTGCATGTGTCTCAGGGAGCACTGGCACCCTGGTGGCATCACTGGCCGGCCACACATCCTCCTCAAAACCTGGGACAGCAAGTAAGGAAGGGACCGGTGGCTTGGGGGAGGAGGAGAGCCCACGCTGGGCTGTTTTTCAGAGGGGGGATGCTGCACACAGGCACAAGGCACTGCCCCTGTGTGCATCCAACAGATCCCCCGCCGAGCCCTGCGCCGGGGGAGCCCTGGGCTCGTGTTCTCAGCATGTGCCATTTCCCAAGGGCTGTGCAGGCACTCACAAATTAAGTCTCACGGCCTCGCTGCCATTCTCATTAGCATCATCCCAACAGCTCTCCATGTTAAACAGCCTCCAAACAAAGTTCCCAGCTCTGTAAACATCCCTCGGTGGGAATCGCTGCCTCCACCAGGCTGGGCTTAAATGGACCCCAAGGAGCGGGGCTGGCGCTGAGCTCCGCTTACCACGCAGACAGAAGACAATTAGTTTATCTCTGCCTCTTGTTCTAAGCCCCCTCCTGCGGCTGGAAGCGTCTCTCCTGTGTGCCAGCCCCATCCCAAATTAATGAGTCGCTCGGGGATGGCAGGGCGGGGGGGGGGTGGAGCCGACGGATGTCGCGCAGATTTGAAAGTTGTCCCCTGTGCCAGAGCGATGGGCACCGAGGGGCACTCAATCCTGCCTGGAATCACGCTGAGAAATCCCCGCTGAGCAAAGCCCAGTCCTTGCAGAAAGCAGCTCTCACTGCTTGGGGCTGGGGGTGATTTTTGCAGGGCACATCCATCAGCAAACCACGGCAGAAATTCTCCCTCCCCTCTCCCCCCTCTCCCCTGGGCTCGGGAGGTTCCAGCAGCGGGGGGAAAAGGCCACGAGGATTCTCTGGGACCTGCCTGCTGCCCTGGGTCAGCATTTATCCCAGCCTAACACAGCCAAGCACAGCACTTCAAGCAGCAGAGTGATGAAACCTTCCAGGGAGCAAAGCACATGAGTGATGACCGGGTTTCCTGAGCAGACACCCGGGCACTGCCATTCTCTCCCCAGGCTTTCTGCCTCCACCTCTTGGGATTTGGGATGCTCCTTGCAGGGCTCTGTGGTGGCCTGGGCTTGGCCAGGCATTGAATCAGCTGTGCTTTGTTAGGAAGGAGTCTGTAATGCTGCTGTTAACGGGAGCTGGGTGGTGGGCACCCATCCACCAGGGCTGGGTGCCCGTGGCCATCCCTCACCCAGGTGGCCCTGGGCTTCATTCAGTCATGGGAAAACAAAGCCTGCAGCATCCCTGAGCTGGAGAGGACTTTTCTCCTTGTCCCTGTGAGCTCCTCTCTCTCTCTCACACCTCTCCTCCCCCGAAACCTGCCACTGAACCAGACCTGTCACTGCTGAGGTGACATCCAAGTCACATCCCGAATACAGGCTAAAAGCCACTTTTGGCACAAGCCCTGACCTGATTGGATGCAAACCCATGGACAATGCTGAGGAGGAGTGAGCTGCTCATGACCCTGCTGCTGTCACCCAGCTTGGCTGAGCCAGCCCTGGCCATGGCCACAACCCCAGCCAGCTCCTCGTGGCTGGTGACCTCCCCAAGTGCTCAGTGGCACATGTCTAGGAGGGCTGGGGATGGAGGATGGCACTTGGTGGCCACACTGTGCTGGTGACACAATCTCCACAGAAGGTCGCAACCTCCAGCCACCACCCCTGGGCAGGGGGATGGCAGAGGAGGGTGGACATAGGGGACAGAGGTGTCCCTGGGCATGGCAGAGAATGGGCACTGAGGGAGCAGGGGCTGGACAGATGTCTCTTTACCCACTTCCCCCCAAAGCCCAGCCCAACAGACACTTATTTCCCCTGTTTTTAGCTCTCCTGAGCTCTGCATCTTCCACCTGCCTCAAGTGTCACCCCGAGAGGAGCGACACGGGGCTGTGACAGCCTCAGCACCTCCCACCTCCCCAAAAAGGGTCCAGGCAGCTGCACATCTGCCCAGAGACACCCCAGAGACACCCCTGGGGGGGCTGGGAGGGCTGGGGACGGGGGGCACTCACCGCTGTGGTTGGTGGCAGGCGCCAGGCTCTCGCAGTACTGCTCCTGGATGGAGGCTGCAGCCCGGCTGGCCCAGAGGAGACACGCCTGCATGGGGAGAGAGCAGACCCCAGGCAGGGTTAGATGGGCAATGTGCTGCTTCCCCAGCCCCACATCCCTCCTCGGGTGGGATCTGAGCCTGGCTTGCTGGGTGCCACCCCCACAGTGCTCACAAATCCACGTGCAGGATGGATTCCCAGGGCTCCTCCAGCTCTCTGCCCCACACACCCCTCCTCAGCAAACCCTCCTGCACAGCCCCTGCTGAGTGGTGGTGGAGAGCTTGTGCTCTTTAGCATTTTAATCAGCACTGTTGGGTTTTGCATCTCTGAATCCCGGGAGCAGGCAGGGGGAACACGCCGAGCCCGACGCCGCGCTCGGATTTGCAATCCCTCATTGAAATCCCAGCCTTGTAAGCTGTCAGTGGGAAGATGTTCATACATGTCCTTAAGGAGATCAGATCCACAGACAACCAGGGCTGGTAAAGGCTTTTTTTTTTTTCCCCAGGAGAATTGTCAGCAGACACCAAAATCCCATTGTGTCGGGAAGCACGGATCAGGATCTATCCCTGCTGCTCTGCTAGGAGTGAAAACCATCAACTCTGTGCACAGGGAGCTATTTTGGAAAAAACAACTATTGAATTATCGTGCCTTTGCAGGAGTTTGGGGAAATTAAAGCAAGAAAGGGAATTGCAGGGATGCAGGGATTGCGAGGGTGGCACAGGGATGGTGCTGTGAGTCCCAGATGGGGGAAGGAGGGGACCTGGTGTTTGGAAGAACACAGATTTCTACCTGACCAGCTGCCCACTTTCTCCTCTGGCTCAGAGACAGGTTTGTCCCCTCTGCTCAGGGGATGGGGCTGATGGATGAGGCTGAACTCCACTTCTCTCACCTTCCCTGTGAGGACTGACCAAACCCCCTGGAGAAAACCCACTGACTGAGAGGCAGAGCTGTGCCCCTAAATACACCACACACAGATCCCTTGGGAAAAGCCCCGAGCCTGGAGGCAGGAAGGGCTGCACCTCCTCTGCTTGCAGGTGAGCTCCCCTCTCCTTGGGGTGGGGGGTTGGATGTCATCCCACATGGAACCAATGTCATGAACAACAACCTTCACCTTCCCCACCAGCCAGTGCCTGATCCCCCTTCCCAAGTGCCATTTAACTCCCAAACTGCTCTGAGCAGGGAGAAGACATTCCTCCTCTTGCCCTTCAGCCTTAGGAACACTGTCTGCTCTGGCTGGCACACCCAGCCTTCCCCGGGCCTTAGGAAGCATTAGCAGGATTTATTCAGACACGCAGACAAGCTCAGCACCCACTTGCTCTTTTCCAAACAATTGTTTAACTGCCTTGGGAAGCTGGTTTTGACAGCAAGAGAGCTGTCAGGTAGAACTGGAGCTGAGAATAGCTCCCTTGTTGTGACTGCTCCAAATGGCACAGGGGATCCAGGAGTTGAACCCCACCCTGGGAGCTGCATGGAGCTCCTGGGGGGCTGATCCTGCAGGAGCCCAGCACCTCCTGTGTCTCCTTTCTGAAAGCTGAGACCACCCAAACCCCAGAAGTGGAGTAAACAAGGTGTAGGGGGTCTGCACCCCTCTGTTCCCCCCTGCCTGGATGCCCACAGCTCCTGCCCGACTGACCTGGTGGCTCTTTGCACGGGTGGCTGGGACAAAAGGGTTCATCCCCAAAGGGGCTGGGATGCTTTGCCTACCTGAGCAGGCTCTCAAGTGTTAATTGGATGGGTTTCTCCTAATCACAGCCTGCTCCAGCCTGGCAGTGCCCAGTTCTCCTTCCAGACCCAGGGAGAGGTCTTGGCACGGAGCAGCACACGGAGCAGCACATGGCCTGAGCTGCAGCTCGAGCAGGGTGTGGATGGAGCACAGTCCTGGCTCCTTGCAGCCTTTGCAAACGAGCTCAAACAGCTACAGAAGGCAGAAATAAAGGGAAAAAAAAACTTCCCCCAAACCAGAACAAACGCTGAGGGCTTTTTCTGCCAGGCTCTGAGTCTCGTCTCGCTGCAGGGTGGCCACAGCCCTGGACAGAGGTTTTGTCCCACTCGTGCCAGCCCGTGGAGGGGG